GAGACAGCGTCAGCGAAATGGAAGGATGAGGGGAAAAGGGAATGAGGAGACACAGACACTTGATCAGGGTGCATGCCGGAAGCCAGCTCTGGCAAAATGTCGTGTCAGGATCCCTGCAGGAAAAGACGGTGTCGGCGAAAATGGAGGGATGAGGGGAAAAAGAAATGAGGAGACACGACACATGATCAGAGTCCAAGTATCTCCTGCCCAGGGTCTCAGCAGCTCCTTATTTATACATTTCAAGCAAGCCATGAGAGTAGATAAGCATGTGCTTTCAAGTAAAAAAAAAAAAAGACTAACAACTGTGGCATTTTTCCAAAGCCGGCCTGGGGTCTTGTGGCCCTTTGCTGAGGTAATAATGATCATTTCACTTTGTTCTAAAGGTGTAGGGGCAGGAATGGGCAACAGTGCAGGTTTTCTGATCCAACAGACCAGGTAAAGGAGTCCTGAAACCCTCAGTGGCCTTTGAAGGCTTTTACTGGGATTCACCAGGCACACGGCAGGCAGGGGTGCTGGGGGGCTGAGAGGCTGGCAGACCTCCCAGCCCCCAAGTCTTCACTCTTTCTGGGCTCACTGGTGATCTCTGCTGCTCTGCTCTCTCATTGTCCTGCTTCTGCTTTTCTGCTTCTCAGCTTCTACTGCTTCTCTTCTCTCTGCTTCTGCTGGTGTCCCCGCAATGCTGCCCCTAAAAGCCCAGTCTCAGCCCAGGTGAATCCCATCCACATGTGCCCACACCCTATTCCAGGTGCCCGCCATCAGGCATGCATTCGGGACCGCAGGGTTCCGTCATCTATCCTAATGGCGGGAGGGTAGAAAAGCCCGATACTTTTTACCTTACCCTACAAAAGGTAAATACAATTACCACACAAAATGTCCCCTAACAATCATTTATTTTCCACTGCCCAGTAATCACTCTTAGGGCTCAAAATAGCAAAACAACAAAAAACTTATATGACTAAAACCTAACTTCCTTGTAAGTGTTAAATTACTAATTAATCAAAATTTTTAGAATTCCTAAATCGTAAACATTAAAATACATAATTACCTTATATATTGGTAATCAAATCCAATTACTGCTAAAATCAAAATCTTTTTATTCCTATAACTATTCTAATTTAATAAAAGTAGTAAAAAAATAAAAAAACCCGGAAGAATCCCAGTGCCGCATAAGTTGCACTGACCTTTTTCTAACCCTAAGCTTCAAAAAAGGGAAACTCCTTTTACTTTCTCAAGGCTATGTTTTCACCTATTACCTCCTTAATTATCTTGTCAACTAATGGCTATCTCTAACTTTAACTGCTATTTCTAACTTCAAAACTCCTCTCCAGATGGTCTCTGCTTAAAAGACCACAAAATCTATCTCAAAGACTTGGCCGGGAATGCTTACAGCCTTTAGTTCCCGGAGGTTTTCAGGTGTGACATATCACTTGTTTTTGTAAGACCAAATGTTGAATCATTGCCTTTTGGCAGAGAATTACTAATCATTTAAAAATGTATTATTTGTATTGATGTCGTTTTGTGGAGTGTGGGGTCCTTGGGTTCACTCTGGGAAAGGTTTCACCAGAGCTCCTGGTTCACCGGCACGCAGCGAGTTCCCCAGGCGCGTTTCTCCATGAGACAGAGACTTTCATTATATTTAAAGAACGGGTTTATTAGGGAAAGGGAAAGGAAAAGGTTTTGCTAAGAGAGGCCTGCATGGTTGCAGGCCGGCAGCCTTGAGAAGAGCGGCCTCCCCTGAGGGAGGTCCATGAAGAGAAGTCCCGGCAGGGACAGGTCACGGGCAGCCAGAAAGCTGCTGCCCTGCGAGGAGAGAGTTGGTGAAAGGAAGCACCTGCATAGTCACAGGAGGGCAGTGGGAGTGCTGCCCCGAACCTGTGCAGAGACTGCACTGATATAGTCCTTTTCTCTTTGGGAGGGGTCACTCCTCCGTGGAGTGGCCTGCTTGTTGCTGATGTTGGGTAACAGGCAAAACTAGAAAGGGATTAGAGATTCCAGGGTGGGCCCAATCTCTGTATCTTTACCCTCAGGCCTGTGCTCCACTCCCTATAGCATCCGATCCTGCTAGGGTCTCATGCCTTGTGATAAGGCACGGGTGCCTGAGGGTCACGACATCTACAGCTGGGTTAATGGTCATGTTATTCCCCTTGACCCCCACCTCCTTGTGTGAGTCAGGTGTTAGTCTTGTGAGGCCTCCTTTCTAGTTTTTCTATTCTTGTCCTCCATCAGTATCATGCAGTGCCCTTGCTGTCAAATAGGTTATTCAGTAATTGATCACTCAATATTTGCAGATTTGCTATTAAATACGTATTTTAACAATTGCCACATAGGTTAGAAACCAGCCATAAACAAATGAGAAGAATCTAGCAGGAGTCAGCTGGCGAGATTCCTTACTTTTCAGGAATCTGCCCCATGCCTGGACCTTTGTCAGACCACATGAGTAGTATGGCCCACACCAGGTGCAAGTATCTCCTGCTGAGGGTCTCAGGCCCGGTCTTTATTTATACATTACAAGCAAGCTGTGGGAGTACATAAGTATATGCATTAAAGCAGGAAGATAACAATCATCACATCTTTCTCAAGAACAGCCAGGGGTCTATTTGACCTTGTAGGGTAAGGTAAAAAGGCTTTTGGGCCTCCCCTGGTGGCGCAGCGGTTGAGCGCTGGGCTGCGAGGCTGCCCGCAGCCTCTGCAGCGCCAGTTCGATCCCCGGCCACCGGCGAGGGTCCCACCCAAAAAAAAAAAAAAAAAAAAGTATCAGGTTTTCTGCCCTCCCGCCATCAGGATAGATGACAGAATCCTGCGGTCCTGAATGCACGCCTGATGGCGGGCACCTGGAGTAGGGTGTGGGCATAGGTAGATGGGATTCACCTGGGCTAAGACTGGGCTTTTAAGGGCGGTGTCACGGGGACGCCAGCAGCAGCAGAACAAAAGCAGAGCAGCAGAGCCCGCCAGAGAACGCACGGAGAGCCCAGATAGAGTGAAGATTTGCTGGGGGCTGGGAGGCCTGCCAGCTTCCCGGCCCCCCAACACTCCTTCCTGCCATGTACCTGGTAATCCCAATAAAAGCCTGCAAAGCCACTGAGGACTCCAAGGACTCTCCTCCTTTACCTGGTCTGCTGGATCAGAAAACCTGCTCCGTCCATTCCTGCCTCTACAGACCTCCTGCAGAGGTTGTGACATTTATTATTCTTTGTTTTGAAGAAGGCACAATTGCTAAACAAAGTGTTCTTAGAATAGTCATTTATCTTAACCAAACAATGTCAAAGCTAGCAAAAAAACTTATGTGACTGAAACTAACATCTCTATATTTACCATAGTGAACGATTAACTAAGGGTTAGGGGAATCAAAGGACGGGAAGTCATTGGGGGAAGGAAAAAGGATTTTTTTCTAACCTATCAACTTAAGACTAACATAACCATATGATCAAAGCAAAAACAGAAGGCTTTCATATAGAAATCATCATCTAATAATATATTGTTTTAATGAAATATTGATTCAATATTAAGGAACCAAGGGCCTGGAGGATGTCAATGCCGGGCAAGCCACATTGACTTTTTTAATTTATTTTTTTTTTATTTTTTAATTTTTTTTTATAGAGGCATGTTTTATTTATTTGTTTGTTTGTTTGTTTCTTTGTTTTGTTTATACATGCACTGGGTACAGTCAGAAGCACGGGAGGGTGAGAGAATCCACCAGAGCCAGAGCGGGGAGCAGAGCAGGCAGAAGGACCGAAGTACACTGCTGAGGGGAGCAGCGGGCGGCAGGAGAGGTCTGCGCGCCATGTGGGACCCTCCTCAGGTGGCCGGGGAGCAGCCGGGGATCGAACGGGCGCCGCAGAGGCTGCGGGCAGCTTCGCAACCCAGCGCTCAACCGCTGTGCCACCGGTGAGGCCCATGCCACATTGACTTTTCCCTAGCCCCGAGCTCTCAGTGAAGGGAGGAATTCTCCTAATCTAACAAAACAGTTTTCTACCTATTACTCCTGTACTTATCAGCCTAGTTTCCGTATCTAACTTTAAGATCAAGGGAAAATCCTGTTCTCTATAATATTGCTGATTGTTGCTTCAAAGAACAAATATTTTATCGGAGGCAGGGCCGGAGATGATTATAGCTTTTGCTTCCCAGAATAGTTAATACGAGACATATCAGTTGTTGTAACATTGATTATTTCCAAATGCACTGTTTGTGCTACCATGGTTATCAGTTCAAAAAGTCACAAAATTGTGGTTGACTTATTCTTGAATACATACTTTAACAATTGCCATGACAAATGTCACATCCAGGGGAATCAGCCATAAACAAATGAGAAGGAGGAGCCAGCTATGGAGCCTCCTGACTTTTCAGGAATTTTCCCCATACTCGGACCTTGTCAGACAGCATGAGTAGCATGGCCCGTGCCAGGGGAGAATCCTCAGTGACCTTAAACTGAAGATACTGTTCTAAATGCTCTCAGTGTATGCCCTGGCGACACCCAGGCAGGGCAGCACATTCATCCTGGGAGCAATGTAGAGGGACTGCTCACACACTGGCAGGACTGGGTCTGCTGTGTGAACAGCCACAGGCGCTTGCTTCAGGAGGTGTTGCTGGGATTAGTGGCTGTGGGAGCTGTTTCTCCCTTGGAGGATGAGGTTGCCTCCTTCCTCCCAGTGAGAAAGTGGGTGGGAAGGGAGGCAGTGCTGCCTTACGGAACAGGAGGCGGTAGGCTTACCACACTGTCTTGTGTCTCCTTTCATTAATCCTCCTGTGGAGCAGTGGGTAGCCTGAGAAGCCTAAATCGTGCGTTAGTTCCTGGCTGTTCTGCCACAGATGGAAACGAGCCCTGTTACCCAGTGAATTTCTGCAGTCAGCTCTTATTGAAGTCCAGCCGTTGGCCCAAGGGAAAACAAAGCTGCAGGAAACGTGGACCTTTCTTACACCTTTTTGAAAATGCAAGTCATGTTGCCTAGGAAATACTTCTCTCCCCTGGTGTTTTGCATACTGCCACTGTTGGAGCTGTGGAAGAGGCAGCTGAAGTTATTCCAAGAAATCGCTCGAAGTTTGCTAATAAAAGGAAGTGGCATTTCTCTGCTGCCTCTAGGCTGGGTTTCTGGGAGTGCACACGGCCAAAAGGAAATTGTGTACTCAGATTTGGGAGATGATTATGTGCCGGGCTCCCGTGCAGGCTGGCTGGGTGTCCTGGCAGTGTTGGACAAGGGCGTGCACGGGCCGTGTGCAAAGATTCCCAGTGCCGAATGCAGTGTGATGAGTAAGAGGGTGCCAATTGGTTGGAAGGGTGTAGATAAACAAGAGCAAATATATATACAGTGGTGTGCAGCCTGCCCAAGTTCCTGAAGCTTGCTGCCAGGCTGAAGACCTGACTGGCAGTCTCACTAGGGCTGGCTTAGGAGCAGAGGGAAATCTACAGGACTGAACACAGATGGAGACTTCCCTCCTGCCGATTGGGAGGACACTTTTTAAAGCATTTCCTTCTGACATGACCCAATAGTCTGGTGAAGGGGGACCACTCTCGTGGGGGGTGAAGGTGTGACTGTGGACATGGCGATGGAGAAAACTGGGAATGAGATGCAGATGCCGGGAAGCCTGGCCACTCTGAGTGACCCACAGGTGACCCTGCTGGCTGTGCACAAGCGGTGGTCCTTCAGGAAGAGCCTTGGGGCCAAGGGCTCCACCAGGCCAGTAACTTCAGAGGAAGAAGGCTCTCCCCCATCAGAGGAGGGAGACTTTTCACTGGAGGTTATGAATGGAAAACGGGGAATCAGTTCCAATCAGGTCAGTGCAATTGCAGAAAGGCTAAAAAGCCAAGAGGGGGTGGAATCCAGTTTATAAATGAAGGTTTCTCCCGTGTCTTACAGATGAGGGGTGAGGGGAACTGGTCTGGGTGGGAGTGACAGCTATGGAAATAACATCAAGCCTGGAGTCAAGGTGAATTCTCCAGAAATTAAGTCCATGCTGCTTAAAGCCCAGGGATTGTTGCTGCATATTTTTAGCCTGTTTTTGTAAGCCTCTGTGGAGGAAAAGTTTTCCAAAATATAAATCAGACTAAAATGGATCTCTCCTCTCTTATTATTTTCTAAATTTGTACACAGTTTTGTTAATCTTTACATTTCAACTAAATAAACATTTTCAAAATGTTGCTGCAAGTTGAAGCTATTCTTTCTAAGCAAATAAAAGTTTTTTAAACCCACAGGTCAGGTCATGTTCAAAACTAGAGCAGTGTAACATTTTGTAAAAATGATTCCTTTTAGTAGCATTTTTTGGTGGGATGGATGGTGGTCGGCATGGGATCCTTCTCATTGACATAGGTAGGCGGGCGTGGTGGGGGGATACTAGTTAGATGCAAAGGAAAGTTTTTATAAGTACTTTGCCCCCTTTTGGATTTATTTTTGTTTCTTCTGATGATCATCTTTAAAAAGTCCCAAAAACCCAAGGAAATTTTGTGAAAAAAGCTTTCTGAAGTGTAGTATGTAAGAGGTTTATATATGTTGAAGGCACATGGTACTTGAATATTGGAAATAGAAATTCTTTTTAAATGTTAAAAGATTCAGCATTTGGTGTCAGGTATTTAACCAGGATATTATTCTACTCCAACGTGTTTACTTTAAAACACTGAAACTCCGACGTGTTTATTTTAAAACAATGAAAATGTTTCAGTGTGCTGAGTTTGTGGAAAGTTTCAAGAGATGCCTTCGAAATTTCTTCCCAGGAAAATTTAATAACAGGAAGTGTGGAATCACTCAGTGTCGACTTTAGACTATTGTTATTGTTATTATTGGGGTCTCGTATAGTTAATTACTTTGTATGCTAAAGCAGTTGTGTAGTTTTCATTTTTATGCCTCTTGAAACTGCTTTAACCAGTAAAATTAACATATGTTCAAAGATTTGGAATTTTAAAGTGTGACAGAACATTTAGTCTAGCTTTTCACGTTTCCCTGTTTCTGTAAGTACGACCAACTTCTATACTTTTAGCTGAGTTTCTAAGGTAGTAAAATAGTAAAATATTTAAAAATTTTTTTTTAAATATTTGATTTTATATTTTTTACATCATTTTTCATTTTTGCACAATGTATGCATTTTCATCTTGGTTATAATCCCCGTAAAATTCCCACCCCCCTTGTTTTGATCCTACTCCCTTCTCCCCTCCCAGTAGTGTGTCTCTGGTTTATAGCTGCTTGTTGATTTTGATTTTTACTTTATTATAGTTAGTCTTTTTCCTGGTCTCGTATTTAGGTTTTCTGTATTCCTGCTATGAGTGAGACCACCCAGTATTTTTCTTTTTCTTTCTGGCTTATTTCATTGAGCAGAAAATGCTTGAGAGCATTTCTTTAAAATGTTAAAAACTGTTACTTTACAAAATCCAGCCCCATGTCTGAGGCCTTTGAATGTGAAGTATTCTAGTGGTTTTTAGTGGCCAGGACTACGCTTGCTCACTTACTGGCCCAGGGGAGAATCACAGTCTTCCCATGTCATTACATGTAAATTCACCACTACAAAATTCTTTTGGATGAGATTTTTACGTAGCCAGTCCTTGTAGGGGGATATTTCCAAGTTTTCGTTATCTAAATGTAGCAATGAACATTCTCGTGTAATTTTATATTTGTATGATGACATTCCCAGAAGTAGAATTTCTGGGATAAATGCAATGAGCATTTAACGTCTTGATAGACATTGCCTATCTGCTCTCTGAAAAGGTTGTCTGAATTAATTTTTCCACAGTGTTTGACAGTTCTTTTTCCTATAGTCTCGCTTACTGTAGCATCAACTTTAAAAATTTTTGTCAGCCTATTGAGTGAAAGTGTACTCTTGTTTACATTTGCGTTTTGTTATTATTTCCTTCTCTTTCCCATGTTTACTGAGATGTAATTGATACACAGCGTTGTATAGGCTTAAGGGGTACAGCATAATGATTTGGCTTATATTATGAAATATCACCATAATAAATTTAGTGAACATTATCGCATGAAGTTACTAGAAAAAAAAAGAAAAAGTGTTTTTTCCTTGTAATGAGAACTCTTAGTGTTTGCTCTCTCAACAACTTTCAGGCATACCGTACAGTCGTTGTATTGTACATGACATTGCTAGTTTGTACATAATTATCTTAGAACAGGAAGCTTGTACCTTTTGACTACCTTCCTCCTATTCCCCCACCCCTGCTCCCCACTTTTGATAACCACAAATCTTTTTTTTCTAACAACAACCAAACTCCAAAACTGATTTGTTTTATGTTCCATTGACAAGATAGAAGGAGCCACTGTTTCACATAATGAAATTAATGCAGACTTGATGCCAAAACTGGTTATAAACTGCAGTTAAAGGAGATTAATAGCTTAATTCCCCTGGAAATAAAAATACATTTTTTTAAAAGTATGCATTATAACTAAGTTGAGTGTAATTATAAAAGTGTAAGGGGCCTCCCCTAGTGGCGCAGCGGTTGAGTGCTGGGCTGTGAAGCTGTCCACAGCCTCTGCAGTGCTGGTTCGATCCCCAGCCACCGGCGAGGGTCCCACATGGCGCGACAGACCTCTCCTGCTGCACCCACTGCTCCCCTCAGCAGTGTACTTCGTCAGTCTGCTTGTTCTGTTCCTCGCTATGGCTCTGGTGAATTCTCTCAGCCTCCCGCTCTTCTGACTGTACCCAGTGCTTGTATAAATAAATAAATAAATCTTAAAAAAAAAAAAGTAAGGATAGTTTAAAATTAGGATCTCATTTAATATAATTTTTTTCTTTTTAAAAATTTTTTTAATATATTTCTTATATCATTTTTTCATTTTTGTACAATGTATGCATTTTCATCTTGGATAACCACAAATCTTATCTCTTTTTCTGAGTTTGACTTTTCTTTTTAGAGCCCACATATAAGTATTTGTGTTTGACTGATTTCACTTAGCATAATGCCTTCAAGGTCTGTTTGTGTTGTGGAAATGGCAGAATTTCCTTCTTTTGCAGTGACTAGATAATATTCATTACAGATCTATGTCTATATATCACATTTTCTCTATTCATCCATCAGTGGGCACTTAGGTTATAAATAATGCTGCAGCCAACATGGGGTTGCAGATATCTCTTTGACGTAGTGTTCTTCATTTTCTTCAGATATATACCCAGATGTGAAATTGCTGGATCATTTTGGTAGTTAAATTTTTAATTTTGGGAAGAACCTCTGTGCATTTGGGTGAGGGGCTTTCCATAGTAGCTGAACCGGGTTACATTCCCACCAGCAGTGCATTAAGGTTCCTTTTCTTCACACCCTTGTCAGCTTTTGTTATCACTAGTCTTTGATGATAACCATTATAACATAAGTGAGGTAATAATCTCACTGTGGTTTGGATTAGTATTTCTCTGATGGCTAGTGGTACTGACCACCTTTTCATCGACCTGTTGGCCTATATCTTCATTGGAAAAATGTAAGGTCTTCCGTCCATTTTTTAAATGGATGATTTGGGGTTTTTTGCTACTGTATGACTTTTTCAACTTTATTTTGGATATTAACCCCTTATCAGATACTTGGTTTGCAAATATTTTTCCTATTGCACAGGTTGTTTTTTCATTTTGGTGATTGTTGTTTTGCTCTGTGTAGCTTTTAGTTGATGTAGTTGATGTTGCTTGTGCTTAAGGTGTCATATCCCCCAAAACCATCACTAAACCAATGCCAAGGAACTTTTTCTGTGTTTTCTTCTAGAAGTCTTTTGATTTCCTGCCTAGTGTGCATGTCTTTAATCCATTTTGAGTTAATTTTTGTGTGTGGTATCAGATAGGGATCCAGTCTCATTCATTTGTGGCTCTGCAGTTTCCCAACACCATTTATTGAAGACACTCTTCTTTCCCTGCTATCTATTCTTGGCTCCTTTTTCAAAAATTGACCATATATATATATGGTCAATATATATATATATACACACACACACACATATATATATATATATATATACACACACACACACACACATGCACACTGATTTCTGGGTTCTCTGATGTATTGATTTATGCCTCTTTTTAATTCCAATATCATTTAATTCCAATATCCAATATATATTTCTTTATAGTATAGTTTGAAATCAGGGAGTGTGATGCCTCCAGCTTCATTGTTCTTTCTCTTTTTAATATAATCTCTCCTCCACCCCATATATGTGTGTGTGTGTGTTTATGTATTCTACTTTCTTAAGATTGTTTTGGCTATTTGGGCTCGAGCATTCCATATAAATTTTAGAAATGTGTTTTCTATTTCTGTGAAAAATGCCACTGGAAGTTTGATATAGATTGCAGTGAACCTGTATGTCACTTTAGGTAGTATGGGCATTTTAATGATATTAAATTGTTCCAATCCATGAGTTAACTTGTATGAGTGTTATAAGGTAGGTATAAGAAAGTTTTGTTCTTTTATATGTGAATATTCAGTTTTCTCAGCACCATTTATTAAAGAGACTGTCTTTTCTCCTTTGAGTATTCTTGACTCCCATGTCAAATATTAGTTGATTATATGTTATTACTTTTTAAAATGTTTATCAATCACTTTCATTTCTTATTTCTGAGGATTAGTTTAAGTAGCAAGTTCCTACCATAAGTTAAAAATTAGTAGCATAAGTTATCAGTATTAGGTTTCTACTTAAGTCTTTCAAAGGAATATATTTACTTTATGGATAGCTGGTCATATCTATAATTCTAGGCAAAAACCACTTTATTAGGCATTATAGTACACGTTTTTGTGTGACAAAATACTAACTTCATTATTTCATCAATTGATAACTTTGCATTTTATCAACAATAACAATAAT